CAAACGGCTACAGCATTTTATTGTTGCAGTTTGTGGGGAGGTGGTGGGTGTGTGGGTGGGTTTGTTTGCTCTTCATTCTTTACTGAGCTGTATCTTATACATCATAAAATCTACCCATGTAAAGTGTACAATTCAGCAGCCTTCGTATATTTGCACAATTGTGCAACCAACATCACAAGATAATTTCGCATTCATGTTTTTATTTATAATAGAGTGAAGAAATCTGTAAAGCTGCTTACCCATCCTGGCCAACGTGGCCACAAAATCCCCCGGGAGGAGCTAGTTGGTGGAGATTTCCTTGTTTTAAACCTGCTGTTTGAGGAGGTAGCTGGCAAGAACTTTCCTAATTAGATTATGCAAAAGGAAAAAAAAAAGAAGAAACCACCTCTTTAAATGCAGGTTCCTGTTACTTGCTAAAAAAAGCATTCCTATTTATTCACCTCGAGTAAAGTGACTCAGAGCTAACTCTATTTGAAGACAAGGAGAGGAGTGAGACTCCAAATCAAGGCGTTATTCACCAACCCCCCCCCCCCAACAATTCTTGCTCATGCCAGAAAGGGAAGGAGGTGTGAACGGAGTATGGATGTTGGAGTAAACAGTTGTGAAAGCCAGTTCACTGGCAAAGGGAGCATCTCTCTTATTTCTCCCCACAGCTTCACTTGGGCTTTGGATCAAGGAATTTTCAGGGCTCTGAGTTACTCATTAATGGCACGTTCAAGTTAAGTACCCTTTACTCCAACTCTAAATTCATGTATTAATGTGGATCGCCAATTAGACTTAGACTACACATTTAAGAATATTGTTCTTGGGGCGCCTGGGTGGCTCAGTGGGTTAAAGCCTCTGCCTTCGGCTTAGGTTGTGGTCCCAGGGTCCTGGGATCGAGCCCCATATCAGGTTCTCTGCACAGCAGGGAGCCTGCTTCCTCTCCTCTCTCTGCCTGTCTCTCTGCCTACTTGTAATCTCTGTTTGTCAAATAAATAAATATTAAAAAAAAAATATTGTTCTTAGGCAGCTGTGGAAAGTTCAAAAATCGAAAGCATCTCTCCACTCGGAGGCAACTCTCAAGAAACCTCGGGTTCAAGGACAACGTCCATTCTCTTCTGCTAGTTCATTCCTGTCTGTCCCCGGCTTAAGGAAGTCCATTTTCAGAGGCTCTGGTTTCACTCTGTCAAGGGTGTGGCAGCTTTCTGAAATTTCCTGCTTGCCCTTTGGACCTTCCCGCAAGTACAGCAGGAGAGTCACGTAACTGGGACGTTCTGGACAGCCCAGCAGCAGGTGGCAGGCCAGGCTACATGCAGGAGGAGACGCAGGGATACAGGGACCCGCTGCCAGGGGGCCGCTGTGGCCGCGGCTTCTCCCACGCCCTACCTGGGCCAGCCCCACCCCAGTAGTGACCCCACAGACTTTACCTGAAGTCTGAAGGAGCTGGACTCCACTGTGAATTGCGACTTGGGGTTTCTGGACCTGCACCGAGCCAAAGTCCCCACAGTGGCCGTTTATGCTGAGCCACCGTATGTCCTCGGCAGCTCCAGGTCCCAGCTCAGACTTGTCTGTGATGAGTCTGTGAAAATCACTGCAGTGTCCTGTGCGGAGGGAGGTGGTGTGGTGAAATCACCAATCGCATGAGAATTTAGTCTTTACTATTGGGGGATTAAGTGACTCGGCGTTTTCAGACTGTCACGGTGCCCACCGTCAGCAGCCAGCTTCAGTCCTCTCGGAAGTGGTCCTACGTCCTGTTAACTAGTTGGATGGATCCCTTGCCAATGCACAGAGGCCGGGGACCCTTGGGAGAGGTCAGGAAGGTGCCCCCCCACACCCCAAGGCTCTGTACAAATGAAGGACTCAAGAGGGGAACAGCTCTGACCCGAAGGCAAGGCACTGAGGCCAGCCAGCAGCCTTGAGCTCAGGGTAGAAATCCCTGGGCAGGGCAGGAAGGAGCAAAGCAGAGGACTGTGTCATTTGCTCACCACCCTGTCCACCCACCCCGAGGGAGAAGAGTGTAAGCTTCACCCAGCCAGTGCTCCCAAAGGAGGCAAAACGGGAGCTCCTGAGTCCCAGAAGGGAGCGTTGGTGAGTGGGTGACCGACCTCAAATTCAAATGTATAGGAAATGGTGGGTATTCATCCTTTCTGATGGCTGAGTCAGAGCCCACTGTTTGCATCAACATGGATGGAACTGGAGGGGATTATGCTCAGTGGAGTCAAGCAGAGAAACACAATTATCATATGGTTTCACTTATCTGTGGAACATAAGGAACAGCATGGAGGACAAAAGGAAGGAAGGAAAAAATGAAGGAGGGGGGAATCAGAAGGGGAGACGAACCGAACCGTGAGAGACTGTGGACTCCAGGAAACAGACTGAGGGTTTCAGAGGGGAGGGTTGTGGGGGAAAGGGTTAGCCCAATGATGGGCATTAGGGAGGGCACGGATTGCATGGAGCACTGGGTGTTATATGCAAACAATGACTCATGGAACACTGCATTAAACATTGATGACAGACTGTATGGTGACTAACGTAATAATAATAAAAAAAAAAAGTGTATAGGAAACGTATCCACCTCTTCTGAGTGTTAGGAGCAACAGAACACAGGGTAGGAGGTGTGCCCGGGGTCCTTGCCCTGAACTGGCTTCCGGGCTGGCATTCTCAGACCCCGCTTTGCTGCTCTTGGAGCAGATGGCCCTACTCCTCCCACCTGCTACGGTCATGGGGCCCCCCCCACTCTGGCCTCCTGCCGGGCACCAGCCTGTCCACAGGCACGACCACCATCGATAGCTCACACACTCCTGCCTTCTGGGGCTCCTTAGGGTTTGGGATGGGATCTGTAGTGCATGTTGCGGAGACAAGGCTGGTTTTCTTTCTTTACAATCTGCTCCCTAAGAGTTCCCAGAGTTCCAGAAGTAGGGTTGCGGGCAATCCTATTTGCCCTCTCCCTGCCCCCCCCCCCCCATCTTACTGTAGTAGCATGGCTGAGCGGGAGGTCCCTCCCCTGAACCCCATGTACTTTATTTCATTCAATCCTCAAAATAATCCCACCAGCCAGGGATTCTTAGCTCTGTTTTTGGATGAGGACACGGAGACCCAGGAAGGTGACAGGTCTCGCTTAAGATCACAATCTATCGAGGGCAAGGGTGGGGGTCTGCGTCCACAGCAGTGGTGTTTCAGGGGGTGGGTGAGGGGTCCACCGGGTGCAGGTAGAGAAATAAGTGTTAAAAAATAAAAAAAAACTTTTAAAAAATTAATTAAATTAATTAAAACACCAGGGCGCCAGGATGGCGTAGTCGATTAAGCATCTGACTCTTGGTTTCGGCTCAGGTTGTGATCTTTGGGTTGCTCCTCGCTGGGCATGGAGCCCACCTGGGATTCTCTCTCTCCCTCTGCCTCTGTCCCTCCCCCCTACCCTCTCACTCTCTCCTTCTGTAAAACCAATCAATAAATTTTTTTAAAAAACAGTAAAACCAGCTAGAAGTCAGATGGCTTTTTATCATCACCCCATGTAATTTTCAATAATGCAGTGAGGACACATGGGTCCTTGCTTGGGTGAACCGGTCCTTTCCTCTCATGAGACTGAGGCTGCCCCAGCTTTATCAATGGGGCCTAACGCCAGAACAGCCGGGGTTCAACTCTGAGGAGGCTCAGCCGGGTCACTGACGATGGCAGGACCAAAGGATAAGAAGAACCTGGGTTATTTTTATTTATTACTGTGGTAAAATACACATAAAATTCACCATTTTAAGCATACCGTTCAGTGGCAGTAAGTACATTCCGAATGTCGTACAACCCATTTCCAGAACCTCTTCATCACCCCAAATAAAAGCTCTGTACCCATTAGGCATGACTCCTATTCTCCCTTCCCTTCAATCCCCGGTCACCTCTGTTCTTCCTATCGCTATGGATTTGCCTGCTCTAAGCACCTCATAGGGCAGAATCATATAAATAGTATTTGTGTCTCGTGTTTGTGCCTGTTTGTTCTTTCTTTTTCCCCACTTCACATGTTTGCAAGTTCTTCTAACGTTGGCGCATGTATCAGAATTGTATTTCTTTTTAAGGTAGAATACTATTCGGTTGTGTATAAACTTAGGGTTTTTAATTTTTCTGAAGATTTTATTTATTTACCTGACAGAGAGAGAGAGACGGTGTGCACAAGCAGGGAGCAGCAGGCAGAGCAGGGAGCCTGGTGCCGGCCTCAATCCCAGGACCCTGAGATCGTGGCCTGAGCCGAAATCAAGAGTTGGATGCTTAACCAACCTAGCCACCCAGGCACCCAAGAACCTGGGTTTTTAAGGACACCTCGGAGATACCATACCTTAGGGGACCTCTTGTTAAGTTAGAGACCCTTACCTTAATGGTGTAGGTCATGGGGCATTGGGTTTTCTGTTTCCTACAGCTGGAAGAATCCCAACTGACCCGTTAGGCACAACTCAGGTTCTTCTGTGAGGTTCCAGGGTGGGCAGGGAGGCCCAGAGGGTCCCCCCCCCATGGACACCCTTCAATGTGTGGCAGAATGTTGGAGAACTTCCTTGTGTGTGCGTGTGTGTGTATGAATCTCATCTACACGGATGTGCACACACACACAAACACACAACTAAGGCCACACCTTGCCTTCTTGTCATCCTCGGTTTAGTTATTTGGTAATTCTTTCTATGGCAGTTAATTTCAACATGCATCGTTATTCAGGACTTCACATTTTTCTTCATCACAAAAAATTTATTTCACTCCAGATTTAAGGAGGCGCTGTGCCTGGTACTCTAGGGACGAGTAGAGATGAATGCCATTTTTTCAAAATACTTTCCCACGATCTTCCCTGGAGTTGGAAATAATCAAGGGTAGTCAAGGGCAATGAATAAAAACATTTTATTTAAAAAACACCATCGAGGGCCCATTTCAGCAGCACATATATTAAAAAAACCACCCAGCGCCCACAGCTCCCGCTTTGGTAATAAGCAGAAAGGGTGGGCGAATGCTGTTTTACTGTACGAAACTGGAGACAGATCAAAGGGGGGTAAGAAGAACACCATTAAAACTGAGAAAGAAAAGTAAGTAGTAAGCGACTATGACAGAAAGGGACTTTTAAGAAAACGTCCCTGCACGACGAAATCGATCTCTTGTTCAAGGAGTACTAGTGAAGGAGGAGGTTTTAACTTACTTGCAGGATTACGGAAAAAGTTCCTCCTGGAACATTTGGTGATGGCTGTGGAGAGGTGGATGGAGAAAGATGTGAGCAGACCCCAGCGCCGGGAGGAGACACGCAGAAGTGAGGATAAGGAGAAAGAAAAATCAGGCAGACCGTCTTCGCTCAACTGTCCCTACAAAACAATGTATTTTAAAAGAATCTGAGGAGGCAAGAATTGTAATTCTCTTGGAACTATTAAAGTGTAACAGATAGCATCAGAAATCAGTTATGCTGTAAACACATTAGCGTTTCCTTTTGTTGGGAGCTGATCTCACACCTCCTGAAACTTATTACACATCACTCTACAAAATTATTATTATTATTATTATTATTTGCTTGTTCCCTTTTCTGGTTCCTACTTGTTCACATTCTGAGAGAGGACACAGGCCCTTTGGAGCTCCATCAATTCAAGCCTTTCATTTCACAGATAAAGGAGGGGAAGGTCACATTCAGCCTTGGAGGCAGACACTAGACTGGAACCAGGTCTCCTGGTCCCCCAGTGGGCGCTTTCCTAGTTACCCGGTGTGACTCCCGCCCCATCCCATCTCCCATCCATACCTGATGGCTCTCCTTCAGCCACAGGTGGCGCAGGAGGGCAGGAGGGGAAGCAACAGGGCTTTGTGGGCCTGTGTGGTGTGCTGGGGGTGTGGGACACAGAAGAGGAGGCCACAGAATGCGTCTCCTGCTTCCATCCTGAGTCTAGGAATAACCCACAGCGTACATGCACGCGGTCAGGCTACTCTGATCACCGAGCTGAGGAACACCTCCTGGTAGGGCACTGGGAGTGAGAGGAATTTCTCAAGGCTGTCCTAAGAGAGACGAAGGAGAACTCACAGTCAGGGACACGGAACTGTTCAGAAGCCCCACACGTAAAGCCCTAGTTACGGATGACATCACAAGAGCTTGAGGCTCCAGGGGACCTCACAACATGGCTCCCCGGCGTCCCTAACAACAACGCCAGCAGATGGGTGGCTAGTCAGGGCTAGGCACTGTCTCCAAATCCCCCAAGTCCAGCAGAAAGAACACAGTTGGCTGGATTCTTGTAAAACGCCCCACCGTTCTCGCATCAGCTTTTTGTTTTGCAAGTATCACTACTCAACGTTCTGAATGTTCTCATTGGGCTCTCTGTATTTCTGGGCGATGATACCAGTCACCCTGGCTGCGACATTTCTGTCTGGGGCCTCCTCAGGAAGGGTGGTCAGATCTCCCGGGGACCTCCTCTCCCGCACATCCTTTGCGAACAAAATGAAAGCATCATTGTATCTGTACAACGTCTCCCACAGAAGTCTGTGTTCAAGGACAGATACCAGGGCTATGAACTAAGGCTATCCTTTGTGATATGCGTGGACCAGGAAAACCGTGAGAGGAATGTTCTCGAAGCTTGGACAGTCTCAAGTTTATCCAAGGCATCAAAGAGCACCTCCAAAGTCTATACAATGTCCTGCAGAAACGTCTCGTGCTTGAGCTCCTGTGTTTCTGTAAAATTCTGCCAACCTCTTGCCAGAAATATGCTTTCTCATGTAGAGATGAGGGGTCGGCTTTCCCAGACGAGAGCCAGCCGCGTGCTGGGGGCTCCGTCTCAGGCGAGGACCTGCCTGCGGAGGCTACTTCGGGTGTCCTTCCACAGAGACTGCTGGATCTGATACACGGACTCCTGAAAGATTCTCTCAACCTGGGTGGGGAAGCCACGGCTGTCCTCCTCCAGGGCGTTGATGGTCCGCAGAGCGAAGGGGGTCCTCTCACGGGGCAGGGGGTTGTGGAGGGGCCGCATGGGGATGACCGAGTTGTACTTGTGCTGCCTGTTCACTGAGTTCATGAGCGACGTGTAAAACTGGAACTTGCACCAGGTGTCTCTTAGGAAGTTCTCGGTCAGCAGCAAGATGGTCCATGCGGACCCATTCACGGCGTCATCCAAGTTCTGCAGATGCTGCCGGCCGGAGGGCATCTCGGCAAAGATGATTCCGGGCTTGATGCCAAAGTCATTCTGCAGCAGGTTCTGGACCCTGAGGGCTTCATCTATGTCATCCTCTGCGTGCAGGATCACGAACTTGAGGAACACCTCCTCCTCCTCTTCCTCCTCCACCTCCTCCTCCTCCTCTTCCCCCTCCAACATGTCTCCCTGGCCCTCAGCCCCCTCATGTTCCCCAGCAGGCACCGGGGCCGGGGTCGTGGGGCTTGGCTCAGCCAGATCGTGTATGGGGAGGTCGTCCGGTTTCTTGGAAGCTGACTCCTGGAGTCCCTGACTCTTTTCCACCCTGGGGCTTGTCCCCAAGGGGAGAGAGAGAGGGCAGGGGTCTATTTTAGACTTCCCGACACCCATCATCAATATCCAAGGGAGAGGAGGACAGCTTCACTTCTTTCTCAACATTTCTTTTCATTCTACAAGGAGAAGAAATAACACAGCAGACGAATGTTGTAAATGTCATCCAAACGTTACAAACGGAAAAAACATTTTTTTTTCACTCAACCTGAAAGCCTCCAAGAGACTGTAACATAGAGGTCCCAAGAAAAAAATGTGGATCGGATCTTGGGGAAAGATCACCCTCCGTGAGTTTCACGAGGGTGACTGTGGATGGTCAAGGGGGAGTGGAACAGGGAGTCAGTGTAATGCTAACAGGAGACATTTGGAAGTCTGACAAGGAATTAGAAACCTCCAGAACAAAGTCAACTGCCTTTGGTATTTGAGGGAGACGAGTCGGTCCCATGCCAGTCTGTCCATATGGAGTTTAAATCCAACTTCTTCATTATCGAGTTATTGTGTAAACTAGAAACAGAAAAGTTGAGAGCAACAGAACACTCAAATAGTAAATAGACAACTCATTTTCATATCAAACACAATTACAAAACAGGACACAAATAAGATGACCAGCTGGCATCGTGACTAAGTCAGCACAAAGAGAAGATGTGAAACGTCAAATGAAACGACATGCATGGTTCACGGCCTTGGAGCTCTTCTCCCTGGCTGGGGTCAGGCACTGGTGTCGGGCTGGTGAAGCAAAACCTTTTTCTAGCTAATCCTGGGAATGGTTCAGAAGACTGAGTATTTACCTCGGGAAAAATTCACTTCTGGGTTTGGGAGTGACTCTGGAAACAAAGGCCAGGGATCTCCTCTAGTGAAATCAAGAAAGAATCATAATGTCTATCCTCATTTCATTATTTTATTTCGTTTATTTATTTACTTTTGTAACAGAGAAAGAGAGAGACAGAGCGCACACGTGAGGGAGAGGGAGAGACTACCAGGCAGGCTCCACACTGACCAGGGCTCGATCTCACAAACCCCCAGTTATGACCTGAACTGGAATCAAGATTCGGATGCTTAACTGAGTCACACAGACGCCCCTCCTTCTATTACTTTTAAAAAAATTTGGAAGTCAGAGTGGAAGAATTAGATCAGTTGTGAGAGAAAAGTGCTTCATGTGAACCTAGTTTAAACAAATCTTCAGATAATGTTGGCAACGTTGTTAACAGAACCCCCAAACACGCAGTTACAAAAAGGATTCTTTTATCCAAAGATAGAAAATTCAGAACAGATAAATACGGGTTTCCTATTTCCAAAAAAAGGGGGGGGGGGGGGGGGCTTTATTCCAGAGCTTTTAAATTTATTGTTCCTGAACAAAGACTAGAGTTCAAGTCAAGAATTTAATTAGGCTTGGGATCATAATGGCATCGATAACACAAGCTTACGAGTACCAAAATAATTCAAGGTTAAAGAAAACCGCTCAGCAAAAATGGTGAAGAACTGTTACGGGAAGAAAAGATGAGGAAAAACACAGAACATTTCCTTCTAACGTACCTAGGGAGAGAAAGAGTTTGCTGCTGCTCTGAACAGCGAGGCGACTGCTGGCTACCCCGATGAATGTATTATGTCTGTACTTGAGGTTCTACTCCACAGCCAAAGCTGTTACAGAAGCTGTTGTGACAGCTTCTGAGAGATACCTGAAGGCATAATTCTAAAATGCTAATACATACATCCCAAATGACAAAACTGACTGTATTTGGAGACTCTTCACTGGTTAGGACTCTCTGCTGACTCTGTTGTGTTACGATAAAAAGGTGTCACTCTGCAAAGCTGCAGAGAGAAGCTTCTCCTATACTAAAAAAGGAAAAAATTGTTAAGCGATGTAAAGAATCGTTGAATCGCTATATTGTACTAACACAACACTGTGTTAACTACATCACAATTTCAAAAGAATTGTTAAAGCGTTTAGAAGAATTTACAGAATGAATTTAAATGATCTTCACTTATGCACTGAGATTAGTTTGTTGAACCAACTTAACACCATGACCTTCCTGGCTAGCCACTGCAGGTAAGTATGCTTGAAGTAAGACAACAGCTCTTCATAAAAAGTGTCCCAAACTACTGGGGTAAAATGATGTGTCAAGCCAGACTCAATGAAATCTCTTGACATGAACAAAAATAAATAACAAAAGGAAAGAACTGCAACTTTAGGTCTCATTTTTCTTTCTTTTTTTTCCTTAACGATTTTACTTATTTATTTGACAGACAGAGATCATAAGTAGGCAGAGAGGCAGGCAGAGAGAGAGGGGCAAGCAGGCTCCCCGAGGAGCAGAGAGCCCAATTCGGGGCTCGATCCCAGGACCCTAGGATCATGACCTGAGCCGAAGGCAGAGGCTTTAACCCACTGAGACACCCAGGCGCCCCTAGGTCTCATTTTTCTTAAACACTAATCAAAAACAAAGCAAAAGCCTCCAGAAATCTTTGACAGTGCTGTTCCAACCCCCTCCTGAGCCCTCCTACCCAGCCCAGAGAGAAGAGAGTGTGTGACAACATCTGGAAAACTTCACTACCACCTTCCATGTGGAGGGGGAGAGCAAGGAGCCGGCCAAGGGGAAGACATGTGGAAAGCTGTGAGGTGGAGGGCAGCCTCTGCTGGCACCATGGTGGTTCCTAGATGGGCAAATGGTCCCCATCCTGGACTGTGGTGCTCAATGCTGGAAGGATGGGAGAGAACAGGATTGTGCTCCCACCAAGCCACTGACTCTGTCTACCAGAGGACTTTCCCACAGTGCAAGGCAGGCATGGAGGGCTGATGGAAGGAGGCTGGGAAGCCTCTGGAAGTTCCCCTCCCCATCAGGGACAGGCAAATGCGGGTGAAAACATTTCTGTGAAATGGAAGGAGTGTGAAGGCGGCCGCTGAGGAGCAGCACACAAAATCACTAGTCACGGAATGAAGACATCTGTGTATATACGTATTTTCATTTACTTTTTAAGAAAAGGTAGTGGCTAAAATACCTAATGACTTTGAAAATGTTCACAGGGAAAAATCTCCTTTCCCCATCCCACCTGTTATCCCCACGGCCTCCTACCGGCGACCACTTCAATTAGTTCCTTCAACATCTTTCCACTGTTTCTTTATGAATATATATATTTTTCTTTTCTTTTCATAAAAAATATCACTGATATATATGTATGTATAAAAAACACACACACTGCAAAACAGGAGACAGAGATACACTGCTTTTCCCTTTAAGACTAGAACCTCAGGAGGACCTGGGTGGCTCAGTGGGTTAAGCCTCTACCTTTGGCTCAGGTCATGGTCTCAGGGTCTTGGGATCGAGCCCCGCATCCAGCTCTCTGCTCAGCGGGGAGCCTGCCCCACCCCCACCTGCCTCTTTGCCTACTTGTGATCTCTCTCTGTCAAATAAATAAAACCTTAAAAAAAAAAACAAAAAAAACTAGAACCTCAGAGCTTTCCATGGCGGCAATGACTTTTTTACAAGACAATCTTGCAGCACACGGTTGTACCATAATTGTCCCCTGTTCTCGGATATGTGAGCTGTTCCCAGCAAGCTACTAGGATGAACAATGCTGCAGAGAACAGCTTTGTATAAAAGTCATCCCATCGATGTGCAGCTTCATCTGCAGAATAATTTCCCCAGATGGGATTTCCACATCAAAGGACAAATGCATTTGCAATAATGAGAGATTAGGCCAAATTACTCTCTGAAAGACTGAAACTTGTGTGTGTGTGTGTGTGTGTGTGTGCGCGCGCTTTTAACTTGATAGAATGACATCCTTACCTCTACCCCTCGTCCCAGAAAAGATCTAAGACCAAAGCTACTGATCACCGCTACAGACAACAGCCCCACTGAGCCAATGACATCCTCTCAGGGCAACAATCCCGTGGAAAAACTCAACCCAAGAGAGTGGAGCTCTTGAGCTGAAGTTCTCCAGGGAAGATCAGCAGGTCTTAGATAAGGAAGGAAGCAGAGTCCAGAATGTACCCACCTCGTATCTAGCCCAAGAGGGTCCCAATAGGATCCCCCACATTAAATAGGAGTAAGGTGAAAAGAAGACTGACAAATGTGCATTCTTGGCAAGTAGCCACACAGACTACAGGAAATGAAAACGAATATTAAGAATAGCTTGCAAACGCCAAGAATACTCTATTTTCATGAAGACTATGGAGGGAGCCAGGGGGGCTCAATTGGTTAAGCAGCCAGCTCTTGGTTTCAGCTCAAGTCATGATCTCAAGGTGGTAGGATGGAGCCCCACCTTGGGCTCTGCACTCCGTGGAGATCCTCTCTCTCTGGATGCCTGGGTGGCTCAGTTGGTTAAGCATCTGCCTTCAGCTCAGGTCATGGTCCCAGGTTCCTGGGCTTGAGTCCTACATCTGGCTCCCTGCTCAGTGGGGAACCTGCTCTCCCCTCTCCCACTCCCCCGCTTGTGTTCCCTCTCTCGCCTTTTCTGTCAAAAAAAAAAAAAAAAAGATTCTCTTTCTCTCCTTGGGCACATGTATGCACCTGCTCTCTCTCTCAATAACCTTCAAAAAAAAAAAAAAAAAGGACTATGTGCTCTGGAATCTGACTGCCTGAATGTAAATCCCAGTGCCCTGCTCTAAAACTATTGTGTGACTTAGTCCAAGTTATGTGGTATTTTTGTGCCTTAGTTTTACCACGTATAAAGCGGTGACAATTCCGGTGCCTTGAAGGTTTTTATGAAGATCAAAATGGCCGAGAACCATTCTCATACATGTTTCAGCCGTTACGGTTATTAGAGACATAACAAGGGAGATAAGGAAAAATTTACACCAACAGTGTGTAGGCTCTAGGACAGGATGGCTCCAAGTGCTGTCTGGGGACAACGGCCAGTCTCTGGATGGTCTGGCGCCAGCCCGGGACAAAAAGCAGGAGACTGTGCCAGGATATAAATCAACCAGGTAAGTGCTTTTCAGTTCAGCTGACATTCTTCTCAGAGCAAAACATTCTTTCTTTTCTTCCCCTCCCTCTTTTCCCTTCTTTCCTTCCTTTTTTGTAAGATTTTATTTTTAAGTAATCTCCACACCCAGCATGGGGTTTGAACTCATGACCCCGAGACCAAGGGTTCCACGCTCCTTCGACCAAGTTGGCCAGGCGTC